ACTGGGCACCCCCGGAACGGCGGCGGCGGGGACGCCTCGGAATCCCCGCGGCCCAGCCGCGATGCGCTCCTCGCCTGCGCCCGGCGGCCGGGGATGCAGAGTCTCGAGCCTCGGTGTCGGATTGCAGAGTTGCCCTGGTGACGGGATGCGGAGCGTTTGCTCGTCTTTGCGGTGGGGGCGCTGGTGGCGGGGCCGTCCGCGCCGATCTCAGGAGCGCCCAGGGGGACCCTCTTCCCTGGACCCCTCCTGCCACCGGGCCATCAAGGCACCCAGCGCGTGCGCCCTGGCCACCTGAAATCAGAGCAGGCGTCCGCGGCGCCCAGGAACGGTGCTGAGCTGCGCCGGTCCTTCATTGTTGCCTGGTTTGGATACCAGGGGCCCCGCCTTCTGTGGATTCTTTGCCTGCAAGAGCCCCTCGATGTTGCAATCACGTGTGTGGCTGCATTGCTCGTAAATTCCGAACAAAACAAATTGCGACCTGTGTTAACTCTTTGTGGGTTACTGGGAAAGTTGCTGGTGGGTCGAAGACATCGCTGAACGTGCAAAGAATAGAATACCAGGAAAGCGTTCAGATACTGAGCATCGTACCATTTCTGTTCTCCAGAGTAAATAAAGTAAAAAAAAAAAAAAAGAAAGAAAAAGATCGAGATCCAGATCTGGGAGAGACTTGTGTTACAAGGTAAACGGTGGGCGCGTCCCAGAAAGCCTGCTCGTGTCGTCTGGTAACCCCTGGGCGCTAGAATAGGCTTGGAATTAGAGGTCCCCCAGCAGTGACTTCTGTTTTAAGTTAGCGAAAACCATCTGCCAATGAAGGGAGAGAAGAAAGCGCCCAAACGTTGAAGAGTTGATCTTCGCCTTTAAAGTTATCGTGTAAGGTCACGACTTGTAGGAGAATTAAGGAATGTCGCTCTGGAAAGGACAAGAACGTTGCTTTAAAAAGATCTAATTGGTTCTGACGTTTTAGAATTTTTGCTGTTTTCCTTGAAATGTTCAACTACTGCGGGAGGTGGGGGGGTGGGGGTTGGTGGTACAGAAAAAGAATCCCCAAGTAGGAACCTGTCAGATTGAGACTGTATCTTTTCTCTTGTTCAGAAGGTGACTCCCACCTGATTTGGTTACACGTAACCGTTCTTGTTTACTGATCTACCTTTTTATGGTGGCGGTGATGGTGTTAATCCTTAAATTTTAGAATTGTGTCCCCTTAAAAGCTAATGACGGTTATAGTTTACTTGGTAACACAGATCTGCTCACTATGTGACGATTCGTCAAGGTGTACATTTATGGTTGTGCGCTTCGTTGCACGAATAGTTCAATAAATTCAGACATTAAACAGTGATAGAAAATAAAAATAAAGTGATGGTAAAACTTAAAGAAGTATGTTGAATTTTTATTTCTTAATCTACTCGAAGGTTTTGAGATTTAATGTCGTCTTTTATTGTTATAGCAAAGCTAATAACTGCATCTTATTCTTACACTCTTATTGTTAGCTTTAAAAGTGAAAAGATTTGACCAACTGAATATTTTGGAATTCAGATCTCATAAAACATATCTATTGGGTAGAATGGAAGAATCTAGGATTCCTGTCATTTTTCCTGTGCATCTTTCAAAACATAATAATACATTTAAAATTACTGTTTTACTTCTCCAACGTAGTGTTAATATTTTTTCCAAAATTGCATACAGTAAAATTTAAATAACTATGAAAACCATATTCTGTGTAATCGATTCTCTGTAATTGATGAACTGTATTTTACAGTTTAGACTTTTAGGTTATAGTCCCAAAAAGAGCCATTTACTGTCTCTTTTCAATACTATGATAAAGTAGCCTGTGCTAGTTTTCTTTAGAGACAGCTTCATTGCATACTACTTTGTTTTCCATTTGTATACAATGATTTTTTTTCCTGTTTCTAACCATTGCTTATCACACGTTTCAAAAAGTATAAATAGAGATAGAATACCAACTTTCAGGAATACTGGTGCAATACAAAAAAAAGTCCAAAAGAGTATCAATATGAGAAAAAGAAGAATTACCAATTTGTGTAGTCTTTCTCTACTTTTTTCAAGATAACTGACCCCTAGAGTAATAATAGCAATGTCTGGACAGAAGTCTAGAAAAGTTGTGGCTCTGTTGTTGATACAAATATTCAGAATGATGTAGCTGTTAACAATGAGTAGCATATTTAAGTTTGGAGTGCATTATTATACATTCTTTCCAAAACTTTTTTATTCTTATTGAGTAAAACAAACTGTGTGGTAAACCACATTCTTGAATGTATAAGTCAAGCGGTGCCTGAGCCATTTAAGTCTATGAATAAATTATTTAACATCTTGGCAAAACACAAGAA